TTAACTTTACTAACACATATCATATTAATCATGAATAGATTATATAAATGTATATATAGTCCTGAATAATACACATATAACATAAATTGTGCATATATAGCACATGGTGACAGAGATTTATTTTAAGAAATTGGCTAATGCAATTATGTCAGATGAAAGTAGAAAATCTGCAAAGCAGACTGGCAGGCTGCAGGCCCAGAAGAGTTGTTGCAATTTGAGTCCAAAGTTGTTTTACTGTTAGAATTTCTCTCCTTTTGAGAGGTCAATCTTTTACTGTTAAGTCCTTCAACTGATTTCATGAAGCCCATTCACATTATGTAAGGTAATCTTCTTTACTTAAAGCCCACAAAGTTAAATGATAATTTTGTTTTAAAATACCTTCATAGAAACATCTCAAATATTTAACCAAGTAGGAGTCTGCCACTACCTAATACATTTGACACAAGAAATTAGCCAACATAGAAAATCAATTCAATAATTGTATAGCTGAAATGATCTTTAATAGCAAAATCCTCACTCTGTAAGCCAAAAAATTTGGCTTAATGTAGGATAATTGGCTTACCCAAAGTCACAGAGATTCAGAAAGGACCCAAGGTATTCTCTCTCTCTCTCTCAGTCCTTTGTTCTTTACAAAAGCTATAAAATTAAGCAACTAGAAATGCTGTTTTAGGTGTTTGGTTTCCTTTATATTGAAAAAACATTATCCCTTTATAATACAAAATAATGACCAATGCAATGTCCTAGATTCAATTAACTATAAATTTAAGTATTTTATACTGTGGAGTTACTTACTTGAGGAGATAAGAATCTTGCATAAATATCTTTACTATAATATGCATAGTTTCAGTTGTTATGATTTTTTCCATTGTCTCTAAAGTTAAGTTTTTATTAGGCAGGCTAGAGCAGGATGTATAGCACAGTGGGGAGTGTGGATTGCAATATGGTGAAATAGATTGTCAGAATAGAACTCATTGACAAGGTAACATGTTAGCAAAGACTTAAAAGAAATAATGGAGGAAACAAAGTGACACCTAAAGATGAGAGTTTAAAGTAGACAAAAGAGCTGACACAAAGGCTCTGGGTTGAGAAACAGCAAGGGAAGCCCTGAATCTGGAACTCACCCAGGGAAGGCAGGAATGACAGGGATGAGGTGGAGGGCGGAAGGACACAGTCTGGTGCGAGCGCAGCCACTCTGTATTTTACTCTAATTTTAATGGCACCACTGGAGAGCTCTAGAGAGAGCAGTGACATCATATGACTTGGTTTTAAAATGAATTCCCAGGGAAACTCAAGTAACTCAACTGGACTTTGTGTTGTTGGTGGTGGTGGTAGAAGAGGAGGGAATATCCATTACAGCAAGGAATCCATTGAGTTGGGAAAATATAGTAGTCACCCAGATGGAGATTCTGATGGTTCAGGCCAGGTGTTTTCTGACCTCCCCAAAAAGTGAACAGAATCTGAGCATAGAGGTGAAAGATAAAAATGAGGTGAGGAAGACTTCAAAGTTGTACAGCCTGAATAACTGGCAAGAAGTAGTTACCATGCACTGGAATGGAGATGTGAGCGGCTGTGGCTGGACCTGCTTGGGAAGAAAGAAGCAGAGTTCAGATGTGGACCCATTCGATGCTCAAGTAGATACCCAGATGACAGTCTGGAGCTCTGAAAACAGATGTGGATTGAGGTACAAGTTCAAGAGACATAAATTTTCATTTAATTTGATTAAACATGGTCTCGGTGACTTTTCTCTCATTGCTGAGACAGACTATGAGACACTAAAAATTATGGAAGGAAAAGTTTATTTAGCTCACAGTTTATAGCGATTTCAGGCCTTACTTAACTGGCTCCAAGAAGGATGTCACATGACAGAGAACAATAGATCGTGGCTATGGGAAACAGCAAAAGCAGCAAGAGCAAAAAGGGAGGAGCAACAGCAGAAAGCAATCCTCTCTCTCTTTCACTCTCTCTCTTCACTTCTATTGTGTGCAGGCTACCCTTCTAGGGAAAGTATAGCACACCCCCCCATAATCCCAGCATTGGACCAGGAATCAATCAAAAACTCTAGAAACCCACCCATGACTGCATGAAGCTTTGGGGGGATATCTAGACATAAACCTTAACAAATATTTACTAGGCATTTTACCATTTGTTGAGCACTGACCCAGTTATTACAAGTGTAAATATTAAGAATATATTGTTTTTCCTACAATGAATCTCATAATTTATAAGGAAAACAGGAATATCAACAAAAATTGCTGTACTTAATAGATGTAGTTATATAGGCCTATGTCTCAGTCACATTCCTGTTGCTAGGATGAAGTGCTCAACACTTACAACTGAAAGAAGGAGAATTTCACAGTTTTGCTCAATGAGAGGCTGGGGAGAAAGGCGTAAGGGAAGGAAAGGTGCTCAGTGCATGGAAACCAGGAGGCAGGGACAGAGAGACAGAGACAGAGACAGAGACAGAGACAGAGACAGAGACAGAGACAGAGACAGAGACAGGGGCAGAGGCAGAGGCAGAGGCAGGGGCAGAGGCAGAGGCAGGGGCAGAAGCAGAGGTAGAAAGAGGGACAGAGAGACGAGGAGATAGAGATGGATGGACAGAGACAAAGAGATAGAGAGATGAGAGATAGCCATGCCAGGGACAAGAATATGCCTTCCAGGTGAAGCCCCCAGTGACCCGCTTTCATCCAGGTCTTACTGCTTCGCAGCAAGCCAGCTACAGCACCTGCATAATCCAATTACTTTCCAATGTGATGTGTGAGACACTTTAGGTCTGAACCATATGGACCATAAGAACACTGATATGGGGAAATTAAAAGAATTCCACCTTTGGAAAGCACTTCAGACCGGAAGAGCTTCAGAGAGGAAGTAAACACCTAAGCTAGAACTACAAGGTTAAAGAGGATTTCTCTGGATGGAAAAAGTAAGATATTCCATGCAGAGTGGAAGTTGTATGAATAAATGTAATTTTGCTTTTTTGAAGATAAATGTGCTTTGGAAGGCCTTAACTCCTAACAAATTAGTCAACTGAGTATCTGATCCACCCCTCTGCAATTCTGAAAATATAAAGAGGGACATATCATCTATATATGGCCATACATGAAATTGAGAGAACTTTATTCATGGGTTTTAAAAATAAAGGCTGCTCTGCATGTAAGTTGAAAGTTTCTATCTGGTGCCTTCACAGCGTACATTAGCCAGTGCCTCTTTTCCTATGCGCTCTGTGCATAGTGACCGTTCTCTGAATCAAAGCTAGTGCAGCTCCTGAGAGGTCTGCTTTTGTGTCTTACAAAATGCAAGTTACAGCTAAGCACAGAGAAAAAAGAAGCCCATCTTTTTTTTTTTTTTTTTTTTTTTTTCTTAGCATGGCCGTGAAATCAACTCAGAGCATAAACAACATAATTTAGCCAATTTTTTGTGAGTATGACAGTTCCTTAGTCTAGGTCTGGATGGAGATTTCTGGGCTTGAGAAGGGGAGGGCACAGGAGGATAACGGATAGAGCACGTGTGTGTGGGTGTGTTTGTGTGGGTGTGCGCGCGCGTGCGCGCGCTCGCGCCCATATGCAAGTGGTGGGGTTGGGAATGCCAACTTGGAAAATCGTCTCAGAAGGGTACAGTTAGCGCCTGGGGGCAGGCTGCCTGCCTCTACTGCCGCCAGCACTGCCCTTCCAGCCAGCCTGGCATGCCTGGACCACCCAGCAGGAGCTTCGCCCGACTATGCCCTCATCATTTCCTTTTCCAAGCTTCTCTCTGTGAACAATTTCTTTTTAAAAGGCTCCGTATCTCAGTAAGCACTCTTTCTGTTCCAGCAAGCACAGAGCCCCAGAAATTATGGGATTTGGAGGAGAGTCATAGGCAAAGAAAGTCCACTTATGCTTAGGTAGCAGAGCAAAAGGTCAGTTCAAAATAGTAGCAGCCCGGAGATATAGCTCGGTGGCATAATGCTTGGTTGGCAAGCTTGTGGTCATGGGTTTGATTCCCCCGCCCCACAAAAAAATAAAACAGCCTTCCACCTCTGCTCCAGAGTGGAACAGTGTTGAAACACACTATCCCATTTCCACGATCTTCCCTACTTCATTCAGATTGTGTGTTTTCACCCTAAAAACTTGGGGAGCTAAGCCACAGAGAGGAGGCCCCTGTGAAAGAAGCTGAAGATTCCTTTGAAAACGGAGGTGTCTTATTTGACATCTGATACCCCCAAGTCTCCAGTCCTCTGTTCCTTCTTAAGTCTTCATCCCGTTTGTTTGAGGGCTAAGAAGCCTGGTTCCTTTAAATCATTACTTAAACATGTCTTTCCAAGTTTAAACTTGGCTGCATGTCTGGAAATTGTTTTGAAAAAAGCCAGTAAGCTGAAGCTGCTAGAAACTTATAGATAAGTAACGTTACAACCGGCTGCCAGTAAAAAGTAAATAGTGAAAAGCTCTCATGACTGGCTGCCCCTTCAGAGCTGAGACAGTCTGCAACTGGACTTTTGCACTCTTTAGAAAGAAAAAGCCTGCTTCCACTGGGAAACTTCTGCTTCAGGAAAACGACGGAGTCACGCAGAACTTGGACTTTCAGAAGCACCTGACAATTTCTCGTCTCATCCTCTTTTCCCAATGCAAAAAGAGGAAGGCAGGGCCCATATTTGACAGATGAACTATGTCCAGTGCAAGCCGTTAAAACCTTTCGTAGGTCACACACAAGAGCAGGCCTCGGGCTGAGCTTGTCTCTGCTTGTGCTCGGGATTCCAGGCAAAGCTCTCCACCAGCATGAAGGGTCCTTGGTATACTATACAGTCCATTTCCGTTTTTAAACCTGTAAGATAAGGTTCTTGCCAATTTTAACTATCTCTTCTCATTGCGCCCAGTGAGCAGGAACTTAGAAATCAGAGGCATGGAACGGTTGATGTCTGGAAGGCTCCTTCAAGCTCTTTCATTTTGGTTTCTTCCCCCCCCCCCCCCCCCCTTCTGCAGGCAAGCAACTCTTCAGTCAGGACGCCTTTGCAAGTCTGGCTACACTTAACACTCCTTTAGGTCTTGCCTTCTTTTGGGAGCAAGAGCAGACAGAAGTGCTCCGCAAATACCAATATTTTCCTCTAGGAGGAGCCGCGCAGTCCGGATGCGAGCGCCACGCACCAACTCCAGCTGCTCCGGGGAAGGCTCCATCCCCGGGCTCGGAATGCGTGGCCCGGCCGCTCTGCACCTCCCAGCAGCGGCCCCCTGGAGGCGGCGGCCCCAATCCCCTCTTCCCTCCGCCTCGGTAGCCAGAACCCGGGGAGCTGCGGGCCTGGCCCGAGGTGAACCCCGGTGAACGCGGCCGCCTTTCCCACCCTTCCCCTCCCTCCAATCGTCCTGTCCCCGCCCCTCCCTCCTCCCGGCGCTGACAGCCCCGGAGCGGCCGAACTCGCCCGCGCAGCCATGGGAAGAGGAGGCGGCCCAGGCGGAGGCAGCGGCTGCTGAGCCCGGCGGCTGCGGCGGCACCCGGGCTGGGGCAGGGGGACGGAGCCCCGCGCCTTCGCCCCGCGCGGACGCGAACGGACTCACACTCGTCTGGGAAGGCGAGGCTTGGAGGTACAGCCCTGGAGGGGCTCCGAGAACCGGGCTCTTCTTTTCCTCCTTTTATGCCAGAGACCCTGGAAGTGAGTCCTGTGCTGCCAGTTGTTTATTAAAGTGAAGGGTCTGCTTTATGGAGTTAACAGATTTCATTTTTTCTAGGTAACTTGGGGGTGGGATGTGATCGCTTCACCCAAAGTAGTTTTGTGCTGATGGTTTGCTGTAACCCGATCCGTGTTGTGGACACGTGTGGTGTGGTGTGCGTGTGCGTGTGTGTCTGTGTGTCTGTCTTGAAGTTGCTGCGGGCCTAGGGAGTTGGGGGCGAGGGGCGGCGCCCAGAGAACCGTCTCCCACTCAGGCGCCTGCTCCGCCCCCTGCGTGCGGGGTGAGGAGGGGTTTCCTCCCAAGACAGTTGTGTTAAAGTCCTAGAAGTTTTGCGAGTGTGTTTCTGTTTGACAACATCAGCCCGCCAGGCCGGGGCAGAAATTGCTGAAGCTGCGGCTGCTGCTCCGGGAGAGGGCCGGAGCCGGCGACTGGAGCGGCCTGGGCGCGGGCAGCTCGCGCCCCGCGCTCCGGGTACGCGGCTTTTGCAGCGTCTGTGCGGGCTGCAGCTGGCCGCTGGCGCTGGCGGACCTGAGGTTAGTAGTCTCGGCCATCCGGCTCCGTGAACTGAGGCGGGTGGAAATTGTGGGAAGCTGAACTCGCCCAGCCCTGGACACACACACGTGGTTCTTCAATCCACCAGTCTTGAAAGTTTTGACAGAACCACCGAGGCTGGAAGCCTGCGGGAGAGCAGGGTACCGCAGCTCTGGAGTCCGCGCGCCAGCTGCACGGTGGTGTAGGCCAGAGTCATCCACGCAGGGGGTCGTGGGGGCTGGCTGTTTGGGGCAAGGGCTTTATACCGAGCCCAGTGGCGCGTCTGCTGAGATCACGCCGTGAGGCTTAGTGGTCTGGCGCAGGGTGTGTATGCTGAATGGGTGTGCCTATGTGTGGTGCGTGTGCGTGTGTGTGTGTGTGTGTGTGTGTGTGTGTGTGTGTTCGCGCCTGGGAAGTGTGCTGGCTCCCAAACCAGTAGGATGTGCAGAGTGGAGGAGGAGGAGACCACTGAGTTGCTGCCTGCCTGCAAGGGCAGAAGACCTTGGAAGGGACAGGGAAAGGTAATGAGAGGCCACAGGGTTAGGAAGTCACAGCAGTTCCTGCACAGAATAAAGTACCATGGTCTTTGACATGACCCAGCCAGTTGCCTTGGAGGGGGCAGGTGCATGCAGAGTATGCAGGACTGGGGGCTGGAAGTGAGGTTCTCTGGAGAACTTTGTGGGGGCCATTGAAATGTGCTAGGAGATGTGTGTAAGTGGTACTAGGCGACACGGACAAGAGCAGGTTGGAGCTGTGAATCCCAGCGTCCTAGAGAACAGCTGACCATATGCAGTCTATGGGTAGTCTCAGAGGATTTTACACTTAACCTCCTTGAAGTGTGCCTGAGAAGTATTCCACTTCTTCTCACAAAAATAAGATATGTCAGCAACTGGTGTTCTAGAATATTTTCCTTCTGAATCACCCTGAAAATTTCTCTTTTTTTTTTTTTTTTTCTGGGTTACCTTGAAGATCCCAACTGTTGAAACACTTCCTTACATTAAAATGTTGAATAGAATAGACTTAGCAGGCAGGGTTGCTGGATCTGTTTTTTCTGAGATTCACAGTATTCCTTCCTTTTGAGAGAAGCAAAGGTCAGTGTTCTCTGATTAGATGTCAAGGGGCCTCCTGTCATTTGCAGTTTGCTTTCAGATAGACCTTTGGAACTAGCTGGAAGTATGGGTTTTACCCTCAGCAAACACTGAGAAAACATTTGGATCTTAAGCTAGTCTCTGCTCTCATCTTCTTCCACCCTTAAAAACTTTTGGCTTAACAATAGTCCAAGGAAAGGTGGTGAGTCAACATTCAGCACTTTGGGGGTGTAAATATATCACCTTGAAATTATAGTTTTGGTCTTACAAATACCAAGGAAAGCTCAACAGTTAATGGGGCAAGGTGTGAAATAAAGGTCTACTAATGCAATGACAGTGTGACGACATAAGTTTATTTTTTTCCAAAGTGAACGTAACTTTACCTTGCAAATATTTGCTCTAGCCAGAGTCTGGGGCTATGTTTTTCGTTATTTATTTTTAAGTAGTAGACTGCACATCATAAATGAACACCTCAGGCCTTCTCTATGCTCTCTGGCACCTGTATGAACAGATGTTTATGGTTCCTGGTAACCTATGGGGTTGTCATGTTGAGTATCTTATTAACCCAGGACATTATATTTATAGTTTAAGGTAATAAATGAAGCCACAGTTGCAGCCTACTTCTAGCAAATGTGTGAAGCACCTACTGCAGAAAGAAATTTTGAAGTTGGTCCAACTTGTCCAGCTTTTTTCGGTATCTGCTGATAAATATTGTTAATGTAATGATACATCTGAGTGTGGGCAGCAATTGCATACCCTAGAAAAAATAGATGTATGCTGTATTATTTTTAGTCTGCTAACTTAAAGTTTAAGCCCTTTTGGTCATTCTGCTGGTAAATTGCACAATCATGGAGATTTGGTTGCTTTTATAGAAAAAAAATTTAGAAACACGTCAATAATGAAAATCACTTTTATTTTGTAGTGTGTTCATATAATCCCTCTCTCTCTTTTTTCTCTCTCCCTCTCCCTCTCTCTCTTTCTCTTTTTAAAAATTGTAGCCCAGTAGCAAAGCATAGCCCTATAATCTGTACTATCTGCAATAATAATTTAAATAATGTCAACATTCAAATCACGTATCTTTTCAATTTTTAATTGGTAAGTATTTAAGTTTGTTTAAATTGGAGTCAGTCTCTCAGTTAATTTTACAAATAAAACAATATAGGATATCTTTTTGGAAAGTGATTTTTTAACCTGGAACAGATATCATATACATAATGTGTCCAATAAAATAGTTGCTTAGGGTAACTATTTTAAAAAGTAACTGCGTATCATGTCAACCTCCATTTCAACATGTAGGAAAACGGACCAATCTGGCTCTTCCTCGAAGTAGTTATTTGACTAATCTCACTTCATATCTGTCCTGTCCATTCTAGTAAAGATTAATTTCTAGCAAGTTTTTTCTTTTATGGAATGAACATTTTCTTATAGCTATTTGCCTACATTTGAGTTGCTGGGACTACACATAATAAATGTGATCTCTTTCTCTTGAACATACTCTTTGGAAGCAAGCATGTGTTCCTTGGTTCTTAATTCTTTTTTGCTTGTTCTGACACTTCTTTATCCACTGTAGAGTCCCACCTCCCTCTACTTTGAATGATGTCTGGAACACAGATTTAGAATTCTTACTGCTAGACACTCTTCAATACTCATGAGTGCTTCAACTATGTCATTATACCATTGAAGAATTTCAAACTTGTAAATAAGGCAATAACCTGTGTTTTCAAATTATTATCCATCCATCTTTAAAACATTATAATAATTTAATAATACTGTTTCATGTCTGAAATTACTATGACTCTGTGGAAGGAATGGTAGTAGACAAATGAAATAAAATTCTGTAAGTCATGCAGATAACTCTTGAATTTCTTCCTATCAACGAATCCCAAACAAAACAGTTCTGAGCGTAGAATGTTCTAGAGATAAGCAAGTTGAAACTGCATGTTATACATAGGTAGAGACGCTGTTGTGTTTTTTTCATAAACCACATTATGTTTGTTCCCGTGCATGTGAATCAGTACTAGCAATCAAGCATTTATTAAAAGCTGTTCAGGGGCTGGGGAGATAGCTCAGCAGCTTAAGTGCCTGCTGGGCAAGTGCAAGGAACTGAGTTCAGTCCCTCATACCAAAAAGAAAAAAAGAAAGAAAAAAAAAAAAAAAAAAGAAAGCTGTCCTGCCTGAGCCCCAGAAGTTGTGCCATTTGATCTCAAATGAGGTGGAAATACATCAGACAGAAATGCTTCCTGGGGCAACTTGGACTTGAAGTGTACATACGGGCTCTGTGAATAAGTGAATGACCTGCTTCTCTGCAGAAGACTGACTTGCTAATGTCACAGTGAAGTTGGAAGTACTCACTTTCCCATAAGCAGCTACATCATGGCATCAGTATGAACTGAGGCCTCCATAAATTGTCTTGTATCTGGACAGGAATTGAGCAAATGTTCTCTTACTCCAGATTTACCAAATCCAGGCTGTCTTGGAGAAAAGCAGCCAAGCTGACTGAATACTCAGAGAGGGTGTAGCTCAAAGGAAAGCACTTTGGGGATCACTGATTTCTGCATTTCTACCAGCAGCAGAATAGCTCAGAAGGGACTTTTTTCCTGAGGAAATGATAATGCCTACTTTTCAGGGTTGAATTATTTCCACGCAAGCTCTCTACTGTCATCTCTGGTCTGTACTAGGATTAGACACCTGCCTTGTGTGATTGATTTCTCTTGTGTGAATCTGGCTTTGGTATCCTAACTAAATTATGAGCTGCTCATAATCATTCTCTGAGAATCTACTAGAACAGTGTCTTCCTGCAAGAAAATTTGGTAGTGGATGATGGCAACAGTGTTCTTTTATTAGCAACTGGTGCGTAAAATGACTGTGCTTTTAGGGAGAGAGAGAGACAGAAAGAAAGAGAAAACCCACCTATCATGTATCAATTGATTTTAGTGACTATCAGAAGTTCTCTTTTGTGGGCAGACCCTGGGTCTAGACAAGGAGACAATGGCAGTATTTTGCTTGTAGATAAAATTTTCTGGAAGGGCCGGCCAAATAACTCAGTGGATTAAAGCACCTGCAAGTAGGCACAGGGCCAGGGGTTTGATCCCTGGGACTGCAGTCCTGGCCCCACCTCCAGGGTGCACTGAGATGGCAATTAAGACTGGGTGTGGGTGCCCTGTAATCCCAGCTCTTGGGAGCCTGTAAACAGGCAGATCGCTAGGAGTTCCATCTAGTAATAAGACCCTGAACACCCTGTAGACCCTTCCCTAAACTACACAAGAAAGAAAGAAAGAAAGAAAGAAAGAAAGAAAGAAAGAAGAAATTGTCTAAGAGTATGTATATTTTCAGTGAGATTCTTCAGTTTAACTCTTTGAAATATGGTCTTCATTCATATACATTTGTTTCTTTGTTTTTTTTTATCTGTTCTCATATAAAGAAAGGGTGAGGGATAGGGAGATAGCTTGGTGTCTAACGGCCTGCCTGGCAAGTACAAGGGCCTGGGTTCAATCCCTGGTACAGTATGCCATGCCAGACACTGACATTGAGTGTGCTGGCCAATGCACACCTGTAATCCCAGAGCTGGGGAGGCTGAGACAGGATAATCACTTTGAGTCCAAGCTGCACAGCGACACCTTGTATCAAAATAGATAAATAAATAAATGTATGGTTTAAAAAATTGAAAACAAGGAGGAAATGATGAAAATTTATGATTTTTTTGTGGGGGGGGAGTCTACAGGGTGTTCAGGGTCTCACTACTAGATCGGACTCAAGTAGTGATCCACCTGTTTATAGCCTCCCAAGATCTGGGATTACAGGCAAGCACCACCACACCCAGTCTCAATTGCTATCTCAGCTTGCCCTGGGGGTGGGACTGGCATGACAGGCCCAGAGATTGAACCCCTGGCCCCTGTGCCTGCTTGCAGGCACTTTAATCCACTGAACTATTTGGCTGGCCTTAAAGTTTATGATTTTTTAAGGCTAAAAATTTCTGTCATTATTCTGTCCTTTACATCCTTCCCCCAAATTAAGATAGACCAATTGCTAAGTGCTAAGGCATGTGATTACCAACTATTTTCCCTACTTGATATAGATAATATGTAAATTACTTTAGCACTTCTTGTAATTTTGGCCAACCATTTAAACTTTCTGGGCTTTATGTTTCTTGTATGTTAAAAAAAAAAAAAAAAGAAAGAAAGAAAGAAAGAAAGAGGAGAGGTAAACAAGACTGTCACTAATCACTTTTTCAGGGCTACGGTTTGGATACATTTAATTTTCAAATTTCTCTTTCTTGGGCCAGGGATATAGCTCAGTGGCACAGTGCCTTTCTGGCAAGCATGAGGTTGGGAGTTTGATTCCTTGTAATCAGAAAAAAAGAAAGAAAGAAAAATAAAAAAGAAAAGCAGCCCTAACTGCAGTAACCAAATTTCTATTTCCGTCAGCTCCTTTGACATTTTGCTTGAATCTCTTTAACAATACTTACTCCTTTGGTCCATTTTTAGTTTCATGGTCTGCTTTAAATCTATCTGTCTTGCTATAAGTCCCATAAGAACAGAAAGTAAATTTTATTTTTTAATATTTCCTCATTCATTAATGAATGCTGTAAATAGCAGATGTGGGAAGAATGTTACTTGAACTAATATTGAATGCTTTGGATAGTGGAGCTATAATTTATATCACTTATTTAACAATATACAATGGTTTGGGGAATAATCATTAAGAAATACATCTGGTTATTTTGTTCCTTCATCATTAATTTTTAATCATTTAAATAAAACAGAATAAAATGTTAGTGCATACTACCACAACTGTACTCCCTACTTCCACTGTAAAACAACCCAATGCCTCATTTGATGCAGGAGGTCTTTCTGAGTTTTCTGAGGGAGTTTTCTTTTGTTGCTCTTTTTGCTTAAAGCAAAAGTAATTTCTTTTTTTTTCCCCCTGCAGTACCAGGGATTGAACTCAGGACCCCGCACTTGCCAGGAAAGCACTTATTCTACTGAGCTATCTCCCCAGCCTCATAGAAGTAAATTCTATAGTATCATATTCATAAAAGAAAAGGTGATGGATGACAGAGTTCTTCTTGGTTAGCCTTGACTTCTTTCTTTAGTGCTTCATCCTACCTTTTAATATCCCCAGTTAGTAAATCCTCAGGTCAGGATGATTTTATTTAGCAATTCAAAGGGTGTGGTTTTGTCAGAAAATGCTGAGCTGTATGAATATAATTATCCCAACTTAGCTTCTAGTACTCCATTCCAAAATGAGCAGATAACTTCTCCCACAGAATCCTTAAAACTTCCAGATGTGTTTACTGCATTGGCCAGGGCTATGTTTTGTTACAGCCTATACTCCAACTACTTGTCATTAGACTAATGCAATAATCCCATAGTATCCTGTTTTATTAGATTGTGAACCTCTTTCTGTCTGTCTAGACTTCTACTTAGGACAGCATCTAGGGAAGAAGCTCTCATTTTCATGGGGATGCTAAATAGGTAGCAGAGAAGCCCTATTCATCATTGGGATGGGTAAAGATTTTGTAAATTGAACAGTTTCATTTGTATTTGTTTCTATATTAGGCAACCTTCCTTGCTAGACATTTGCAACAATAACTCCTTAATTTTTTCCTCAAAGGTTTAAAAAAATTAAAACAATCTATAATTTAAAATATCATAAAAGAGTCATCCCTTATCTACCATTAGTATAGAGTGGACATATAATAAAGTCTTTGAGCCAAACCAAAACTTTTATACACATCTTGCTTTTAAAATGTGCTTATTATATCAAGAACTATATCCATTTTCCATTTGCATTGTCAAAGCAAAAAAAGAAGACATGATCATTGCAGAACCAATTAGAGGTCGTTCTCTCCTCTGCTTGTTGAAGAAGGAGGAGGAAAGTGATTTGTGATGGAGTAGGTCCCTCTGGACTTCATTTCATTTATTGTATTTTTGTTTTTATGGTGCTGCACTTGAATGCAGGGACTCCTGTGTGTTGGTAAGCACTCTCTTACAGAGCCATAACCCTAGCCATTTTTGGCCCTTGATGATGGCTAGTAGGAAACCCAAACTTTCATTTCTGCTTGCCATTTTCAGAAAGCAGCTTATCTTCTTGGTCAGTGCGATGGCTAAGAATCCTAATTTTCTCTGTCAGTTGTTTCTCTAGACATGTCTAGCTAAGTGATTGTTATTCCATAAGCCCTCAGTTTGGTAAAGCAAAGTGAAGAACAGTTTGGCAAAGTGCGTGAATGGCAAATTGTGAAAAAGTTCTGAAGATAAAGCATCTTCAATGGCCTCTTTCCTTCAGCACAAAAGAATGTACCAGAATTCCTGGGCAAGATTGAATGAAGAAAAAAATGCCATGATTCTGCCTAGTAAGTCAGAAAAATTAAAGAAAAGAAGTAACTTCTTTGATATTAGCAGGATAGCATCTTATTTCCCTTAGGGATATTGACAAAACAATGTTTTGCTTGTCATAGATGTTCAATAAATATTTTATAGCTCATCTTAGTATGCAGTAAAACAACTGAGAAATTGAAATGTTGAC